ACCTCCCTCGTGTGTGCTGGCAGAGAGCCAGCAACTACTACTGCTGCCTGAAAGAGAAGAAGAAAGCCTGCTGCCTAGAGAGACAGCTGTTGCTCAGAGACTGGAAGGGGTCTTTTCTTCTTCTTCTCTCCTGGACTTTTATTTGGAGAGAGAAGAGATTTGGCCCACTATAAATATTATTGTCATGGTAGAGATAGATATAGAGTTAAGATTGTTTGTAATATATTATAGTATTTATTTATGTGTATAGTCTTTGTAATATATTCCTTCCCCCATATTGAGTCTCGTATTTTTGTCTGGAAAACCCATCTCACATGGGGTTGAGATGTGGGTGGGGGGCTAGGAATCAGAATTGGATTTTGGGCCTTGCTAAAACCATGACAGTAGTAAAAAAGAAGTTAGTTCAGAAAATTCTTGGAGCATGACAATTCAGATTGCTCTTAATATAATGATTTCACTAAGAATATGTCAAGGATAAACATGATTCATGGAAAACTAAATAAACTGAGAATTATTATTGGTTATTAAATGGCATTTAGAAAGCAGCTGTCTCAAAGATTTTATAAACTTGCTTTTCTACAGATCTCGAAATCCTAAATTTTGGGTTGTAATAATGTCCCAAATTCCATTTCAGGCAATCATTTCTTTAAACTAAATTACAGTAGTTGAAAAATTATAATATTAAAGAAAACAATGCCAGTGTCGCCACTGTTCTGCAAACTCCGGTCTAAAACTTTAAAATGAGGAATTTGCCCTTGCATATTTGCAAAGTACATAAATAAAGCGAAAGGTAGAAAATTCTTCTTCACGCAATGTCAGTTTAGTTTTGCTTATTGCTGCTTCCTTCATAGCTTACTCTGCCGTACACAGAACACATATTTGTGAGAGTATTTGACAATAGAAATACAAACTTATAAGCTAGAAGAAAATGGATGGGTTTTGTCATTATGTGATACACATGCAAATATAGCTATACACGGCAGTAGAGGAATTAATATTGCTGAATCCATCTGTTTTACCAAGGGCATCTTTTTATGTCCATCTACACATCTGCATCCAGCCCCCTTGAAGGTGTCCTGTTGGCGTGCACAACCTTCTCTGTAAGCTTTGTAATACAGGCAACAGCACATCTGCCTCTGCAGTTTCCCTGCCAGTGAGAGCAACTGTTATCTGAAAACTGCTGAACCCAAATAGCAAAGCTCCTGTGCCTGTGTGCAAAGATTATGCAACACTAGCTGGAGCAAGATAAATGGATCCATGTCAAAAGCAGTGCTAAGAAACAGCTTGGCACAGAAGAAAAGTGCTGCTGAAGGCAGCATTGCACAGATGCAGTGATTATTCGAGATTTAGATGTGGCACAGTTGATATTAGAGCAGGTAAGAGCGCTACCTGTGTGCTGTGTAAATATGCAAAATCGTTTTCTCTTATCCAGCAGATTTCTTCTACCGTAAGATTCACCTCATAAAAGGGACAGATAAACATGGATCTTCACATGACAAAAAGTTAAGAAAAACAATGCGTTTGGTTCTACCTGAAAGTTATCAGACTCCCAAGTCTTTTAAGATTCGTCTTCAGTCTAATTTCATGATGTGGTAAGTCACTGGACTGTGTGACAGAAATGAGGTACAGTTTGTTCAGGCATTTTCTAGAGTTTTCTAGTGTACTCTGCCTAGAAGTCTCTAAAATTAGTGTTTATTATTAAACCAACTTTAGCAAGCAACAAGATATGATGAATATTAATTGAAAAAAAACCCCAAACACAAAGAAAATCTTCCCTTCCTAACCACAGTTAGATTCCTCTAGAGAGGCATTTATGTTCTCCAGACTTACTTTTCAATCAAGCAGTACTCAGTTGTACCTGAATTAAGCTTTACACTGTGTCCTGCAGAAGGGCTGTGCTGATTTCCTAGGAAAGTCTCATTCTTTCTACTGCCTTTTAAGACTGCTATAAAGATAGTCTCTTGAGCTAATACATCCATTCTGCCTCCTACCACATCTCTATTTCCAGTACTGCAGTTTTTCTGCTTTCCATGTTAATCTTGCCTTCCTGAAACCCAGACCAAAATGGAGGAGCAGTTCTTAAAGAACAAGCAATTATCCTGAGGGGATGTAATTGCACCAGAATACAGTTGGCAATAGAGCTCAGAGAAGCCACAATAAACTGTAAACAAATCCAGTAAATAATCATGCTCTCTATCACAGATTGGCTTCTAGTATACTGAAAAGCCTTACAGAGTTTAATTTTACACAATTATTTCATATTCTACCGAGCATAAGCATTGCTACTTTGTTTTTCTGTGACCATTTTACCAGAGTCATGGGTTTGAAACTCCAGGGTTTGCCATGACAAATAGCAAGATTGGACAGATGGGCATCATGCTCATGTTTCAGGTCATGTTCTAACATCTGCAAGAAATCTGGACTTTTTCTGAACCGTATTTTTCCTTTGTGAACAGTCCTGAGTACAGTCCTTCACACCCAGCCATCTATTGAAGTATATTATAACAAGTATTTCAGAAGCAATACAGAAAGAAAACTAAGGAAATATGCTGTAATTATTAAATAAAGAAAACAGGACAGACAGCTGAACCCGTACTTTTCTAAGAAAACTTAAGGGGTTTACATTTTTTAATTTGTTATGAACAAATTTTTTTTGAACCAAAGAGGCAAACCATTTCAATACATTGTTAAATGGACTTTGCAATAAAGAGGAAAAAAGTTTGTGAATATTAAAAAGTCAGCAGCTATTGCTAGTAGTCATAAACTTTTAAATAATCTATATGTTACAGTAACATTATAAAAATTGAGTCAGCAGCCCTGACAATAGAGCTTTGAATGCCACTTGCACCAGGAAAAAACTGTAACTGAAGAATATTCTTAGTCTTATTGATATTTTCTCATTGATCTCTATAATCTTCTGTAGATCGGATAATTTGATCCTGAACGAACCATTTACTTGAAAAACTTGAGGGCATGGAAGACAATGTCTCAATCAGAATTTTTTCTTCAGTAAGGTCAATCAACTTGCTTAGTAAAATAGAAAAGTCGTGAAAGATTGATAAAAACCAACAAAAATTTTCTAAATATTTAGAAAAAAATCTTCCTCCCTTACTTTTTCTTTTTCTCCTCTTCTTTACTTGGATCCAACTTAGACTCAGAAAAACACCCAAAAATGTCAGAGACTGCTACCAAGGGATTTTCAAGTTTTTTAACCACCAAAACTAAGATAAATTTTAAGTAAGCATCCTAAAAATGGAATTCCTCCCTTTGTTTTTAATACTGCAATAACATTAAAAAGAGAAAATAAGCTCTATCCAATCATTAACACTATTACTTTTTTTTTCATGTTCCTAACAAGATCTTTTCATTTCTGGTCTTTGTAACATAAATCTTTAAAGACATTAGATTCCTGTAGCAGTTAAGAGCATAGGAGGAAAAAAGTACTTTGTTAGTTACATTTTTCATTGAATTTGTCACACACAAGAACTCTGTAGCAGACAACTGAGATAATAAAAAATTATTCTCTCACTTCTATTCCATAGGTGCTATCACATCAACAGAACTCTGGTAGATTGGCAGGAATATTGGTGAGCTGTTGCTTGATTGCAGTTCCTTTAATTAGTTTATGTATTTTTCTTTTTTTTACCTGTGAGGACTTATATGAGGCATGATCCACTTACTAGTCTCATTTTAGTGTTTTTCACTCAGCACTCTGCCCACTTTTGATATTATGATATAGATATTGGTCTTGATATCTTCAATAGCATACTGAAGATTTGCAGATATTTGGTGTTTCTTCCCGTGAAACGTTAAGTTCAAAACCAATCAATTTTTTTTTAATTCCATTGTTAGGGAAGTTTAAACTAAATTTGACTCTCCTGTCAACATTCATTTTCTGCTATTATCATTCCACCTCTATCATCATCTTCTTCCTTCTACTTTCTTTCCCTCCCAGCACACACTTTGGAGAATAATCAGGACCTTTGAAGCACTGCAGTGGATGGCTTACTGCACAGTCAAGTGTTGAACAACTCCTCCCAATGAAATTTCTGTAACTCAAGAGTCTGTTTTCCCTCCAATATGGGGTTAAATTGAGAGCTTGGTTTAAAAGTAAATGCTGAATCTTTCCAAAGGCCATTTGATAAGACTAATATTTCAAGAGTGAAAACAACATAGCTGTGCTTTTAGAAGAAAAATAATATTAAAAATCTACTGCATTAGTTCAAATGTATTGAACTGAAAAGTTTTTGAGAACAAACATCAACCAAAAACTTCGATTCCACTTTTCCAACAGCTTGCTGCTGGCAAGAGAAATGTCACAATGCAATTGTCCTTGGAGTTCTTAGGGTTACAAGGATATTACATCACCTAGCAACAGAAGCATCTATTTAGGATACAAGGCTCAAATGCATTCTTTTAATGTGTTGTAGATCCCCCAGGATATACACAAATAAACTGCCATAGAAATCCACACAGTTTGCAAGGCAGTCTGTTTGTTTGTCCTTGATGCATCAGTGCTTTTCATTTGGAAGACTTTGACCTTTTGCTAGCAAAACTGGTAATAGTCTACTTATTTCATTTCTGTGTTTGTTTTTTATTTATTTTGAGGTCCAAAATAGGTACTTAGAGATTCACTTACTGTTCTTTGTACATCCTTCCATCCAGCCCGTTGTCTCTTCTTCAAAATGAGATTTTACTGAATTTTGGAATCTTATATATTTAGTAACTAGAGTGGGGCAAACAGCAGGTTTACTATCTTGTAGGAAACTTTTTTTTTTTTAATTTTAAAATAGTTTTTAATTTCTCAGCAAGCAGAAGTTCTCAGTCCAGAGTGTCCTCAAACATGCTGGCATGTTGTGGGTTTTTCAGTCAATATCAGTGATGGCATATCATGAAGTGGCCTTAAGACACTCTCAGGGTCCCTGCAGTCAAATGTTTCATCCTTATCTATCCTGTTGCCATGGATCTTGTAACTCTGTAGGCTTAGGTCAGACTCACCGGGAATGAAGAGTCCTTCACAGGATCAGTCAGAAAAATGAAATGGTTATGCAGAGAAATATGGACTGACTTTAGAAATCCATGGGAAACCTCTTTCTGGGTATTAAATAATGAAGTTCAATACTTCATCCTGTTTTGTCTCTACAATACTTTGTAGTCTGCAGCTAGCTGTAGCTTACAGATTACCGTGATGATATATAATAAGTTCCACTCTTCTTGCACCATCTGAGTACAATCAAAACTTTTGTTAATATCATTGAGCTGGAAAGTGTGTGCATGGGGCGGAGCAACCTGCCTTGTCCTTAACATCTTCTGACTCAGAACTGAGTTCTGACTTTGTGATTCTCTAAGTGTGTCTCTTCTCTTTGTCCTTTGCATTTGAGTTTCCAGTCACTTCTTTACATTAAGGACAGATCTTCAAAGGCATTAAACATATTTGGAAATCTTCCCATAAACCTGTGAAGTTTTAAGAGCAAAATCTTTTCCCAGAGATTAGCCTAATTTTCTTTTTATGCATTCTTAATTGGTAGCTGTATCATCAAAAGCTAAAGTGTAGGTAAAGCCACAGATGGACTGAACTGGGATTTGAAAACCTGTGCAGATGCATAGTGACCCATCAGGATGCTGACTGTGAACATGGATCCTAAATCATTCTAGTCCTCCTAAAAATCCACATGAACGTGCAATTGTAGCATCAACAAAATTCACTGGGCAGAGGACCTCGCACAGTGGGATTCTGGCATTTAGTGCACCTTCTAATGTAGCTTCTATTCATTATGAAGAAGAGAATCTAGCCTAAGAAGTCCCTGTAGTTTATGCCATCATTTGTGTTACTTTAAAAAGTGATGAGTGTATCTATGGCATAACCAAAGACTTTACGCTGAAAGGCTATCATAAAGGAGCAAAAGTCTTGTTGGTCAGGTAATTGATAGACTTTTTCTCTCAGATGTCCCAAGTTTTAGTCATTCTGGAAAGTCTGAATATTCTACCCTGTTCACATCATGTAGTAATAAAAATAACAATACTCAATTTAGTTTATATTGAGCATTAGGATACACAGTTAGTAAACACATCGAAGAACAGAACTAGTTTTCTAAGCCAACCACATGAACTTTACTAAAGGCTAATATATTTACAAGGTTGATATACGGAAGTCTCTTGGAGATAACTAGCTGATATATCAGGAAATTCTCAAAGACTGATTATTAATGCACCAAAGCCATATAAATTCACTGAAACAATCAGAAGACATTAAAGAAAGGCAGTTTTATGTCTACTTTGGGTCTGTTCTTCATATGATATAAGTCAAGACAAATCCCTGCCACATCATATTTTCTTGCTGTGGGATGGTGTGAGGGAAATAAGGGGCCCACTTAGCATTTTGTGTAGCTCATTTAAAATAACCCAGATTAATGGGGCCCTGTCTATTTTATCCTTGTAGGGAAAGAAAAATACTAAGAATTATTATTGAAGCCATTCAGCTGTCCAGTAATAATACATTAGTAAATACCATATGATCAAATTTCATTGAAGTATGGTTTTTTTAAAGCAGCTGGCAGCTGAGCCAAGTCTTAGCTTAAATACCAGCGATATTTCATTCATGAAGGGTAAGGGTCCTACTGGCATCTACAGGTATACAGAATGCAGGAAGGAGAAATAACAGGTCCCAAAATACCTGAAATACTATCATATCAGAGCTGAGGAAGCATGGAGAATATTTTTCAAATGGACAGAGCACAGAACATCACAGAAAGTGTGATGGTCTTCTCCTGACTTTCTCTAAAGCCTAATGGCCCAATGTTTTATTCTACTTGTATAGCCCAGTTCAATCCTGAATTGTGCCAGAAAGAATTATTCAGATTTCAAAGGTTTCTTTCCTTTACATTCTTTAGCAAGTTTGAAACACATAATTTAAACCTTTGGCAATGACTGCTATTTTTGTTGTCATCCCTCAAGGACTGTTATTGATTGGCTCATAAATCTTAAAAAGTTTACATTCTTCCCTGGAGTTGCTTCTCTTTTTGAAGGATCTGTGGTCTTTTTATAATTGCTTAGAAGACTAAACCTTTCTTTCCTGAAAATGGCCAATATTGTATTTTGTGAGTAATGACTGCTTATTTAGGTCTAAATTTACTCTGTTTATAAGCAGTAGTCAGTTGTCAAGTTCTTGAATTTTTTTTCATCAGTGATTGTAGGTGATACACTTCTTCATGCAATAATAGTGACCAAATCTGAAAGGAAACGATTTTTACTAATTTTTACTCTTGCTTTCCAAAGGAATGAGGCAAAAGCTTTCCTTTTTTTTTTTTAAATATTCTTCTAGTCAAATTAGTGTCTATATATACATCATATTTTTTGATTGGACTGATATTTTACTGAGTCATACCATGTTAGAAGAAGTCCTGTAGTAGCAGTTCACTAACTTGTTTTATTCGTATGTTTAATTCAGTCTCTGAAATTGTGATTCCTTAAAAAATAATAAAGAAAACAACCTGGAATTTACAAACAATGCTGCAGTTTACCTATTTTTCTGTTGATTATAGAAGGCCATTACATTTTCAAGTCTGTATTGTTTTAATTTCCTTTTGCTAAGAAAACTTCTTGTTTGACCTATGTCTGTGTATCTGTGTGTGTATGCATGTGCATATGGTCAACGCTGATGGTCAAACACTTCTGACAGATAAAACCTCCATCCTGAATCGATGGTCTGAACACTTTCAGACTCTTTTCAGTACTAGCCGTGTAGTCCAAGACTCAGCTATTCAGTCCATCACACAACAACAGGTGAAGTATGAATTGGATACTGCCCCCACTTTAGAAGAAACCCTTAAGGCCATACAGCACGTGAAAATCGGCAAGGCAGCAGGGGTTGATGGAATTCCACCTGAAATCTGGAAACATGGGGGCCTTGCACTCCATGCTAAATTTCACGAGTTTGTACTGTGCTGTTGGGAACTAGGCGAACTACCTTCAGACCTCCGTGATGCAGTCATCATCACCTTGTATAAGAAGAAAGGAATTAAATCAGAGTGTTCAAATTACCGTGGTATTACTCTGCTCTCCATTGCTGGCAAAATCCTGGCAAGAATACTCCTGAACAGAATAATACCTGCTATAGCAGAAGGAATTCTACCTGAAAGCCAATGTGGTTTCAGAGTCAACAGGAGCACCACAGACATGGTGTTTGTTCTCAGACAACTGCAAGAGAAGTGTAGGAAACAGAACAGAGGTCTCTATGTAACCTTTGTCGACCTCACCAAGGCTTTTGATACCGTGAGCAGAAAAGTTCTATGGCAGATTTTGGAATGCTTACGTTGTCCCCCCAAGTTCCTTAAAATGATCATCTCACTCCATGGGGATCAACGCGGCCAAGTCAGATATGGCAACACACTTTCTGAGCCCTTTCTAATAACTAATCGTGTGAAACAAGGCTGCGTTCTCTCACCGACCCTATTCACAATCTTTTTCAGCATGATGCTCCAAAGGGCCACGACAGACCTCGATGATCAGGACGATATCTACATTCGATATCGTACTGATGGAAGTCTGTTCAACCTAAGGTGACTCAAGGCCCACACTAAGACCTTAAACCATCTTGTCCGGGAGCTGCTTTATGCTGATGACGCCACCCTTGTCGCCCACACAGAAGTAGCTCTGCAGTGTTTAACATCCTGCTTTGCAGACGCTGCTGAACTCTTTGGGCTGGAAGTCAACTTAAAGAAGACAGAAGTTCTCCATCAACCTGCACCTCAGGAAGTCTTCCATCATCCCTATATCACCATTGGCGAATCAGAGCTCAAATCAGTCCAGCAGTTTAATTACCTAGGCAGCCTCATCTCCTCAGATGGTAAGATTGACGGTGAGACCGACAACAGGTTAGCAAAGGCATATAGTGCCTTCAGAAAGCTTCATAAAAGAGTTTGGCGAAATAAACACTTGAAGAAAAGTACAAAGATTAGTGTTTACAGAGCCATAGTGCTGTCTACTCTCATATGGATCTGAATCATGGGTCATATACCGCCACCACCTGCATCTCCTAGAACGCTTCCATCAATGCTGCCTCCGTACAATCCTTAACATCCACTGGTCAGACTATGTGACTAATACATCTGTTCTAGAACAAGGAGCAATCACAAGTATTGAGGCCATGTTGCTGAGAACACAGCTGTGCTGGGCAGGGCACATCTCAAGGATGAAGGACCACCACCTCCCCAAGATCTTGCTTTATGGTGAACTTGCCACCGGTTGCTGCAAGAGAGGAGCCCCAAAAAGAAGATACAAGGACTCCCTGAAACAATATCTCAGCCTTGGCCATATTGATCATCATCACTGGTCTACTCTGGCCTCAAATCGGGAGGTCTGGAGACACACCACCTATAACGCTGCTGATGCTTTTGAGAAAGCACGCAGGATCACTCTTGAGCAGAAAAGACAATGCAGAAAGAATTGTGCTTTGCAGAATTTACCACCTAAGGAGTCTTTCTGCTGTGCCTTTTGCAACCAGATGTGCCTGTCTCGTATTGGCCTTTTTAGCCACCAGCGCGCTTGTAACAAACGTGGGTAAAGCCCTTCCCAAATCTTTGTTTGCGAAGCCTAGCCATGATAGTAGGTAACACACATTTTCACTCAGGCATTTTTGGTAACTCCCAAGGGAATTTTTTTACGAACTACTGATATAAAGACCATGACATCCAGATTTTAGATAACTTTCAGAGAGACTCTATTAGGGATAAAAAATTAATTACATTTCGGTTGAATAAGTAACACATTAGAAAATTTGGTATATGAAATTACACTAATAAAATTTTATGGAATCATAACTGCCCTGACACAAAAACCTATTGCAGATTTAGAATGCTCTCCAAAGGAATTATTTTCTTGTTTTTAGTATTTTTATTTTTTTCAGTTTAATACTATGCCCTGCAGAGCAGAGAGGAAAATCCACCCAGTCATCATATAACTTGACGTTAATTGACCCTCTATATTATGTGACCTCCATGTAAATAAAACAC